TCAACGTAACGTGGATGTACACTGTTCCTGCTACGAGTCCCCTTGGCTCCTGAAGGTTTACACCAAAGAGGTGATATATGATGTAGCTTGGGACTTTTAGATGGCATTAAGATTGACGATATTAGCCTATCGACAGGTGAGGGAAATTTAAATCTTATACGGGGAAGCACAAGATCAAACAGATGGATGTATCATTTGCGGGTACATTTGTGAACTGGCGTTACGTAGACTGGTCGTCCAGTGCACACCTTGGGTTAAAGCTGTATATAAAATCCTCCTTCGCTTGCTGCCTACAAAGGCAACCGTGTTTACCTTGGATTGTATTGACGACAATGGAAAGTTCAGGTTTGGTTACTGTATATCTTGCAGAAATCTTCGAGACATATCATGCTAAGTTCGGACATTATAAACAATGCTTGCAGGTTGTTTCTTTCTTTTCCAAGTTCACACTTGTGAATTGCAGCCCCATTTACTAATGAGTGATTACAAAGCAATCTATAATACATGAAGAACATTTTGTTCTAATTCTTTATAAAAACGCAGCAGTCCGAACTTATTTTGTGCATCGTTTTTTATTGAGATTATAGATATCAACCAAACCAATGCCGAAACTGAGTTTAAGAAAGACTTATACACTAAATCTATTTCCAAAGGGAAATGCTGATTTTTAATTATGGGTTTTGCCCACTGCTATATCTGACACGGACCCTCCAGCCAATTCCGGCGAGCTCGGTGGCCGAGTGTTAACATATCTGCACTAGTAAGCAGGAGATCACGGGTTCGAGTAGGCCTAAGCGTTGAATTTTTTTAGCTCCCGGACATCGACGAGCACGAGCTGTTATGAAAATGCGCCGAGTTAAAGGCATCACCCATAATTAAAATCATATTAAATCCGCTTGATCAAGAAAATTTTATGAAAGAGCACGTTTCTTTCTTTCTCGTTTATTTTGGGTCTTGTTTGGTTATTTTTTCTGCAGAGAAAAGATCCCAATACGGTTGGCTTTCCCTAAGAAAAGCATGCAGGGTCTTCATCTGTAACTGCGATCGCAAGGCAGCGAAATGTTTCGCCGACAAGCGGTCCACCTTCAACCGCGGTTACGTAAACTATGACAAGAGCACCTGCTAGACAATACGCTGGCTGATACCTGACTTGTACACCGTAGATGACCAAGGATGGACAAATATCCGAAGTAGTGAATTAACTTAATGACTAAATTAACTAGAAAATATGACTTGCTTAAAAAATTTCACAATTTTGACATATAGTACTTTAGTGTTATGGGGTCTTGTCCTCCTAATCAGCAACTAGACCCCCAACAAATTGTAACAAAAGATTTTTCAGCAGAATATAGTTCTATCCAATGAGTGGCATGCACAAAGTTTATCAAATTCCGACCACTGGAAGGAGTTTTATTGGGGGGGGGCTTTTAAAGTGGTCAGAATTTGATAGACTTTCTGCCTGTCGCTCATCACATCAAGTAGGGCTGAAATCCGTTGAAAAACCTTTTGTTAGAATTTGTTGGGGATGAGGGTACTTTTTCACTTCAATCTACCCGATATAAACACCAAAAAGGGGAAACAACTCACAGGATCTACAACGATAAACAAAGTTTCTTTAATTCGCTCAAAATCTAGCGTACAGCTTTCCGCACTGCGGTCAGAACCACAACTACACCGTTCCGACTCTGCTCCAAAACAGATTGTAAATAATCCCCGCCCGTGAACTTTGCCAAACCCTTCCTGCGCCTGCCAAAACCGGATCCGCCGGCGCCTGAGGCTGTTCTAGTGGTAACAAAATATATATTAACGGTCGGTTACAGTACGTTCATAAACGATTTGGCGATATTTCATTTCCGAAAATTGTCATTACAGATTTACACACGAGACAAATTGAAAATATTTCTGGCTATGGCTAATATGTATAGCGATTTTAACCGCCATTTGCAACAATCAATCTGAATTGTGGCAAAAAGATGTCGAGCTCTCTGACATTTTGTGTTTGTCGTCCTTAGGCCCTAAATTCCAAACACGCATGCTGAGTTTGCAGCTCATCATTTACGAAGATTGAATAGGGCCTAGAACCTGAAAGTAAAAGGTCACGGAGCAAGCTTTAGGAACCCTCGCGCGGTCCGCCCAAGGGATTTTACATTGGGTCGTCCTATATATCACGTTGGATAATTTTTGGAAGAATATTTTCTAATCAAAACCCACCCAGCAAAACACTTATGTTTTCCTGAAGTAATATTTAGGAAAAGCCATGGGTTAAAACGAATTTAATTAACGACCTTTCACGTCCGACGATATCGTACCCAGGTTTCCTTGTCGTGCACGTTTGTTTTCACTCCTAGTGCTTACGTAAAAACGAGATCATACAATTTTCAAAGATTTGCCTACCTGCTGACGATGGTTCCAGATTTCGTTGAATTGAAACGCAGTTGTTGCCAGTAAAGGTTACGTCAATTCAACGAAATCTGGAAGCCATCGTCAGCAGGTAGGCAAATCTTTGGAACATTGTACAATCTGGGTACCTATAGGTTTCATTGTTCGTGCACGTTTGTTTTCACTCCTAGAGCTTACGTGAAAACGAGATTGTACAATGTTTCAAAGATTTGCCTACCTGCTGACGATAGCTTCCAGATTTCGTTGAATTGACGTAATGCAGTTGTTGGCAGTAACATTTAAATAAAGTATTAGAATATTTCGTGAAGGTGTATTATTCCTTTAACCTTATTACCTTATAAATTAGAAAATTCCATAAAATATTTTAATCTGTTTTTATTTCGGTTCTTATCAACGGACTACCATACTAAATTCAAACCGTAAATGTTCAACTACGTACAAGATCGCTGAATTGGACTGTTCTTCACTTTCGGAAGTGATTGGTCCATTTTTGGCATGGTATTTCTCTTTTTAGGTCAGCTAATTTCTTCAGTTTCTGCAAATTGACATCCTAGCAAATATTTTCCAAAGGCCTTTTCCGAGTTGGATTTTTAAACAAGCAACTGAACAAAAAAAAATAGGACGAATTCTAAAATGTTTGAACGTTATTTTTCCTATTCATTTGTTCCTAAAGCATGCCACCAGAGGTCAACTTTCAGGCTTTAGTAGAAAAGACGGATCTTAGGTTAATAATTTTAGGGGGTAAAGGTACATAGCAATAAAGAAATTCACAGTGGCTTGCAATAATTTGGATTGTAAATTTTGATTCTCATTTCTGAATTCGTGCACACGAATGCACCTGGCATTGAGAACCTCCGATGTTCACAAAAACTTCTAGCAGGCTCCTTGCAACACTAGAAAGAAAAACAGGCCTTTTGCACCCCATCACTGCTACATGCATCTCCATACTTAATATATACCCTTTTTATAACGGTGAGAACCCTGATAACACAACTTGGCTGCATGGAAAAGGCATGATATAAAGATTGGCCTATAAAACATAAGACCACAGCAAAAAACTCGACTTCGCGACTGCGTTAAAATTTACATCATCTAGCTTCCTTTTTCTACCTGTCTTCAGCGCAGTTGTCCCGAGTACTAAAGACTATTAACCATGGGCGTAAGTCCCAGGTTGGTTGGGGTACATTCCCCACACTCACTTTTTTGTTGTGAGAGAATGTTTTGAAGCTCACAACAACTAAAGTATTCAATATCACTCAAAAGGGAAACTATTTAAAAAGTCATAAAAAATCCATTCTGATTTTACGTAAATATAATACATATTTATACGTTCATTTACATCATGAACATAGTTTCGTAATTATGGTGTTGAGCCCCCCTCCGCTTTTCAAATTTCAATCACCGGCCTAGTCCCCCTTCCCTTAAATCCCTAGCCCCTATTTCCGGCACAAATTTACGCCACTGCTACTAGTGCTAGATAGACCAAATGCTGTATATGTGTAACCCTATTTCCTCTGAGCTTTCAGCATTTTAGGGGGTATTTATAGCTGTTCCTGAGATCTTCATATTTTTTCCAAAAACACACAAACATTTCTTCCAATTTTCCTTTCCTGGCACTTATTTCCTAAACAAGCTTATTCCACGCGATTTGAACGGGTCCACCATCACCGTATTTACACACATCATAAAATGTAGTATCATTAACATAATTTCACCTCTAGTAAAGGAGAATAAAAATCAGTAACCACAATGATGAAAAAAATAAGAAGCCCATAAAAGCTTTGTGCCTGGTGGTACGGCATTATGTAGCCAAGCATGCTGACATTGCCTGGCTGGGTTTAATTCTTTGTTTTATTCCACAAACAAAAGCTTCTAATCCTAGTATCCTTTGACTTCAGGATTGATTCTTAAATTTTATCAGGAGCTCTGACTCTGGTAAGCGACAGTCAAAACTTCCCTCACCTATTAATTTTTCCCTATCAGTTTGATAATACAACTGTCCAAATTAAGGTAAATTAAATTAATAATTCCAATAACATTTTCCAATAATTTCAATTTTCATTAGATTTAGTTATGTTTAATACAATCTAGTAGGTAAAAACTGAATAAAGATTGCTACTGACATCAAAGCACGAGAGGAAGTCCTCCTTTATATCAGGCAAACTAAAAACGAAAGTCGTCGGGACCATCCAGAAGAAGCCGGTTTTCATGATGTCACACAAGGCTCTGCTATCATATGAGTGTTTATCTGGGCAAACGCCCCACGTGCGTGAGCGCTGTGCAAGCTCGCACTTACCCATGAAGAGATCGGAAAGTGAGAGCGACTTGGCATTGGTCTTCCATCGACAATGTTGATCAACATTGGATTGTACGATAAGGATGAACCGTCCCAAGTTGAACCGGAGTAAGGTTTTGATGAATTTCAGGCACATGGTCTCGGTCTTTGGCCGAGAATAACATGCAACTTATTCTATAACCAGTTGTTTTCTCAGTTCTTGTGTGTAAAAACCCTTGTGATCGCCACAAGGTCAAGAAACTCTTGGGGGGACGAGAGAATTATGACATCATCAAATCGCTAGACTTGTTTGCTGCCCTCATCAAAGCTATTTTGTTTTAATACTGTGAATATTCTTGCGGTGGAACTAAACTCCCAGTGTTACCTTTTTTATCTATAAATGCAAAGAGAAACTGCCTCTTTAATCATGATATGGGTAATAAAGACAAATTCCCTTTAAAGTGGGAGATTGTCCCAAGCATGGCCAGAAATCACGTGGTGCGTTCGTTCTACCAAAGGTTAACATGATTTAATCCAGATCCTGTGACTTCTATATAACTTTATCCCTGCACGATGCTACTTTAAGAGGGGGTGTCAATCATGGGCTGATCCGGGAAGTTACTGAAACAGGGCGGGCAAACCTCCACTCCCATATGTTTGTGCATAAAATGCTGCTCCCACAGAATCCCTACTGCCACTTGTCTGCTATATATTTGTGACGAAACTACTCTCTCCCCTCTTTTGAAAGTGGACCAGGCCACTGAGTCAATGGCTCTTATTTTCAGCGTGTCTGGAGCCTTCTGGCCGACTGGCGCCGACAGCAGATAGTTTACTGACTTCGAGTGAAATAGAGCTAAGACCCCCCCCCCCTTGGAATCTGGTGTTGGCCGTGTGGAAAGAATTCAGTGAATTCTTTTGTTTTATTCAGAAAGCTAGCGGGAGAATGTGATTTGTGTGTCCTATGTAATAATATTATTTGACCGTAATAGGGACAAACGATCACAGGCATGTAAAAACTGAAAACGTGCCACGTTATGTTAAAGCAATGTTATTGATCTGAGTTGCATTATTGTATGCACGTCGTGGGAAAGATTGTCTATGCACATCAGGTTTACCATTTACAAACCCAACCTACAAAATTATAGCAAAAACTTGCGGAAAGATACGAGGACATTTCTTTTCAATTGATGATGAAAGGTTTGATTCAGGAATGTCTACAAGATCAGTAGATTTCCATTTTCTGGGTACACCCTTACTACTGATGAATTAAGTATTACACAAATGGCTTTAACAAGGAAGCGGGTATGGTCAAGTTTGGCTTTCTTACGGATTGCTACTATCGCCAGTTGTTTAAAAAATGTGACACATGGTTGAAACACATGGTTGAAATGGTCAATCTTAGCAATGATCATTGTGATGATGACGCAAAACTCTGCCAGGGCACGTAGAAATGTGATTAAACATTAGCTCATGCTTAGTTCTTAATTTGTTATTTAAGAACCGATGACGATTGGGCACCCGATCCGACTACCCACCGCTACTTCTAAGTAGGGTTGCACACCAAATAAGCCATTCTATGAGTAGGTCGGTATCATAGGATCGTAGCATGGACTTCGCCCGCCACCCTTGTAAGCTGGACCAGTTTAGCTCTTGCACCGCAGCAGTGGCTCTCTGTTGTGTTTCAAGGGGGCACTTTTCATGCCATGCTTACAAGCTTGGCGAATGTAGTCCTGCTACGATTCTATGATGCCGACCTACTCATGGCATGGTGCAAACCCTACTTATAAGAGGCGGTGGGTAGTAAGATCGGATGGATTGGGTAAAATCGAAGCGCAAACTATTTGCAGATTGGTGCTGACAACTTAACCAGTAAACAAATATGATAACAATGAAAATGATGACAGAAATACGCTTTTAATGTTCCAGCGAAGCACTAGTTGTGTCTGTAGTATTAGCTCGGAACGATCAAAGATGCATTAACAAATATTACACAAATGGATGTACAAAACACTGATATTACAATGCAGTGCCTGCTTTGTAAGCTCAGTGTGGTTTTGTCGTGCCATTGCGCTACACCAAGATTCCCTGGTGCGAATTTATGGGCTCAAAAGAAGTTCCTGCTGTCTGCCTAACTGGCCAAAAAGAAACGAAAACACGTTTACTGCTCCTTTATAATAATGGGAGTAATTTTTCCTCAGCTATGAGTATTAATTCACATATTTTTTCCCTCTTCATACCCGCTAATTCCCTGGCCTTTTGGAAGTTCTCGAGAGCATGGTTGAAAAGAGCAGTTGAGGCAACTTCGAGCAACTGGTCGTTTTTTCTGGTACCTGGGATGTATTCTGTATGAAAGTTACCAGTGATATTCACCCAATGGTCAGCGAATGGTCGTCGATCGAGCGTGCCCGCCACCGTTCTAAAATGTTAGAGCAGTTGCACCGTAGGCTAACATGTGTGAAAAAAAAACGCATTTAAACATCCAGCCCTGAACAACACAGCCAGGGCTCAATACATCCATCATAAAATATGCACGCCAGTGAAGTGTTATTATTACAGTCAATGTCTTACTTTTTAGTGAAATGAATTTTTAACCTCCATTTTCGATGACTGCCAGTATATGTAAAAACGCCATATGGAGCCCGAGGTAAAAGGTCACGCAGCAAGCTTTTGAAACCCTCGTGCGGTCCGCCTATGGGGATTTTATATTGGGTCGTCCTATAACGTTCGATAATTTTGGAAGAATAATTTCTAAAAATGAAACCACCCCACGAAACAGTCATATCAGAATTTTTCCTTTGTCCTCTTTGAGTAACTTTTGGAAAAATTAACCTGGATATTGATAAAACTATATATACCGCATTACCGTTCCTATGTCTCTTTGTTCGTTCATGCTTGTTTTCATTCCCGTGCTCAAGTGAAAACGAGGTTGTACAACACTGCAAAGGTTTACTTACGTTCAGTGGTTGGGTTCTAGATTCAGTCGAGTTGACATGACGCAGTTCTTGTCAGCAAAGGTTAGATTAACCTTATCAGATCAGATTAACCCCTCCAATGTTGCGTTAACGGCTGGTGCGCATCCATGGCGATCCACTTAAACATTGGAATGGGGGGTGGGGGAAATGGGGGGTGGTTGAAGGTGGGTGCAATCTAAACTACCCAAGTCTACGTTAATGCACACTGTGAAATGTTTCAAAGCATGGTATTATAGGCACATTGGTTTCTGGCAATTCTTACAAATCACAGGAGTCTGTTTACGTTGGGTTCTCGTAATGCAAACAACCCAGTTTTGATTTTGGCCTTGCCTACTTCTTCCGGGATGATGTCCACTTGAAAGAAGTGCAGTTTCAGGGGCAGGTGGTGTTGAGTTGCTCGTCCTGCAGGCGGACAACAGTTCATCGATGACCTGGAACCGGAAATCCAAGCTAGTGAGTCGACGCTTTGTAAGGATGCTGTTGTACACGATGGTAGCATTAACCAAACAGATATCAAACATGTCAGGGATCTATGACGA